AAACAAACAAAAAAACCCCACAATAAACAGACTCCAAAATTCTTGGCTTTATTATAAGTGGACCACAGTCACATCCTACAGAGTGGTTCCATTTCAAAAACAACAGAGTTCTGGGTGATCAACAGGATGCTCTACATTCCCTAATACTACCTGTCCATGCAGGGTATGCAGTCTTGTCCAACAGTAACATGATGTCCAAAGATTTCAAATCCTATTTCATCAAGCTGCATATAGTATAAGGAACTCTGAAGAGCCAAATGCACATACACAAAAGGAAAACCCAGCTGTCCGTGTGTAAAGAGGTAAATATGAAATACAAAGTGTGGACCACAAGGTGGGTGTAATGCCATCCACTAGCATTTTTGCCATGGGTTTGTACCAGCAAACATTACATCAGTGTGGCATCTTGTGCCTGGGGCACACAGGTAGCGATCATGGGGGGAAGATACAGAAGAAAGATCTTACGTAGAGCAGTGGTTCTGTTCTGTGACTGTGTCCAGAACAGAACCACTGGTTCTTGGGTTATGTTAAGGCAGCTCTCACAGAAAGTGACCATGGCAGTAACAATTCTGTTGTGCATCATTGCTAAGTGGCTAGAAGTTGTTCTTCCTCAGGTGTGAATTCATTATCTCTTTAGTTTTCACAGCTCCCAGAAGTCAGTGCTCTTCAGATAGTAGCTCTGAGAAGAGATCAGATGAGAAGGCTTCTCCCTCAAGACCTTGCTTGCAGAGGTACTGTAAATCAAAGGCGACTCAGACGTTGTGGAGGGAGAGAAAATTATGCACCTGACTCCATCATCAGAAGGCTAAATAATCACTTTATTATACTGCACTATATACATTGCATCTAAGCTGAATCCGCCTTGCACTCACCCTTGCTCACAACTGCAGAGAACTGCAGCCATCTCCTGACTGCTCCGTGACTGTCAGCAGACAGTCTGACACACACACACACTCTTGGCCCTGATAGGCCAAGGGAACAAAACATCCTCACTTTGGGTAAACAATCTCCATTTGCACTCTACTCTAGCCCAACACAGGCACAGCAAGAGAGATAAGAATTATGTTTTTCTTCTTCTCTGCTTGTCTCACAGCTTTTCTCTGTTCAGAGGGCATGTGAATACCACACAGAGGCAGGAAAAAAAATTACTCATAATGCCTGTTCTCAAAGAACATGAGCAAATTACTGAAGATATCCCTTACACCATAGTTGGTGCATTAGTTTCATGAAGCACAGGGGCAACAGCTTATTTTGACTCATTATTTCACCTTAACCTAGTTCCAAATGTCCTTCAATCACAGCTGACAGCCCACCAGCTTTTCTCTGTTCAGAGGGCACATGACTACCACACAGAGGCAGGAAAAAATTACTCACAATGCCTGTTCTCAAAGAACATGAGCAAATTACTGAAGATATCCCTTACACCATAGTTGGTGCATTGGTTTCATGAAGCACAGGGGCAACGGCTTAATTTGGTTCATTATTTCACCTTAACCTAGTTCCAAATGTCCTTCAATCACAGCTGACAGCCCATATTCCATACAACAAGAGATGTGCAGACCACTTGCTGAAATCCCAAAAATTCAAGGACCTCTGGCCATAGAAAGTTCATCCTGAGGTTTTCCATGGTTACAGCTGTGAATTGAGGTCATCACCGGACTTTATGAATTCTGTAGTTTTTTTCTTGTAGCTTACTGGGACTTTCCTTCTCTCATTCTGATTCTCTGTATTTACAGAGCCAAAAACAAGGCAAGGCATGTGGGTGGGACTGAGGCTAGATGAGTTTTGATGGGGCTTATTGCAATAACTATCAGTGCAGGTGAGACAGGAAAATGTGTAAGAATTGGAAGGGGTAAACTGAAACTAGCTGACTGAGAGAAGTGGTTTGAGGGATGGAGAGGAAATTAAATTGGGATTTTGAGAGCAACTCAAAGGTTGGGGCTTGTTCAATTATAACAGAAATAGCTGGATGAGGTCAGGAATTGAGGCTGGGAATGGAGAGGGAATGAAAATGAGGCAGAGATAAGGGCTACGGATGGAAAAGATAAAAGTCTGAGTCAGAGTTTTCTGTGGTGGGATGGAGCAGAAGGCACCAAACTCTGGGGTGGGGGATAAGCATGAGAGCTTAAGCTCAAGAAGGCTGCTTTCAAAGGTGCCTAAAATCTCAAATGTTACTGTTTCTCTGATGGCAGTAAAAATGTCAGCCCTAGATTATAGAGCCCTACATTCATGGTATCTAAATGTATCATCTATGTGTGAGGTGGGGATCTGAGATTGTGTTACAAACAAAGACTGGGAAAGGATTTTACAACCTAAGTATCTGGAATTGTAGCCATTTTTTATGCATTTGGAGATTCCTATGGTCATAAGATGTCCAAATGACTTGAAGGGACACCTTACTTCAGACAACTGTGTTCTACCTGCACTAAATTCAGTCCCAGGAATCCAGAGAAATAAGACACAGAGAGCCTGTGCCTCATTTTCTGCAGACTGTGCAGAAGATAAAGCACAAGCTTACATAAATATAAGCTTTTCAAACCGATAAATAAATGTACGTGTCTATATCTGCAGTCTGCACCTGCATGTTTGAATGCCTGCAGTCTGAATGCTTGTGAAACCTGCAGGCATGATATTTCTCTCAGTCTTCACTAATGTTTGGACATAGAGTTGATACCATCATCCCTTTTCTGTAAATTGCCATCCTAATTCAAGTGGCAGGGAACAAGTTTGCAACTTCCTGATGTACAACCTGGAAAGAGGTACTCATGAGGAACTCCTTTGTTCTTCTGTTTGTTCTTTCAAATCCTAGCAAATGAGACATAGCTACATGTCCAAAACCTGGATGTCTGCTAGGCAAACTGTACTGGGGAATGCCAGAATTAAAATTTTCTCCTTTGCTGCACAAGCTTTTTTCCTTACCAGTGCATGTGCATCCTATGGGGAAGAACAGAGTGCACCATGTGTTTGAAGACAACAGTAGGATGCAAACATAAGGGACTGAATTCAAGCTGCATCACCAGCCTTAATTCCAGCATTGCCTTACATGGCAATGGTTTGGATTTTCTGCTTTAATATTACTTTTTTCCCTCTTCCAGTCCTACCTCCAAATTCACGTTTGGAGTGTCTTAATGAAATTTAATTTAAAAATTCTGTATATGAAGCAAGTGGTGCAATACTGATGATGGAGAAACTTGTGAAGAGTGGGAGGCTGACTGTCATCATTCCACTCTTCTACCAAAATCCATCTGCAGCTGACCCATTTGTAAATGGATGTTTGGTCTTTCTGGCTGAGGAGTCAAAGGCAGCTTTGGCATGGCACTTGTAAAATAGATAATCCACTTGTTGGATATAGGAGCTAAAAGACCTTACTCTTGGAGTCACAGATAGTTGGTCTGGATCCTAGGATGCGGTTGGGTGGAGTGGTAGCATGATGAAATGGTTTTCTGAACCAAAGGCAGATAAGTAAGTGCTAAAGCAAAGTTCTCTACTTCCTGTGTCATCTAGTCTTTTGAGGTCTCTTATCTGCCTGTATATAAGAAAAATCACTTCTGTGGAGAGATATGATGTGAAAATAACTCTGACTAAACAGTTAAGTCTCAAGGGATGAAGGAAGTCAAAAGTTATCTGTCAGTGAGGAGGTAAGTATACTTTGGGGTCTGTTTGCATTCAGGTTTTCTTTAATCATGGTGTTCCCTGGACTTCAAGAAATGCAAGAGCAGGATGAGGGGGACTAGGCCACTCTTCTATATAACTCCTTCACTTCAGCCCTTTTTGGTTTACAATTTATAGAGCTTCTCTCTCTTCTTTTTCCTTCACCAATTGAAGGAGATCTTTTCCAAATGGTCCTTCTTATCCAGGAGTTGGAAGATATAGACTCATCTATACTAAATATTTAAGCCCAGGTAAACTTTCTGAGTGGGATTGTCATATATGCCTTAGGACACCTTAGACCTAAAGAGAGACTTTCCTCATCTCTGGTGAAGTGACCGTGCTTATTCACCCTGGGTTTGCTGGTGTGGTTACAGAGCAGGAATCATCTTGGGAGACTTAGTCTTCTCACAGTCAAAAAAGAATAAGTCACTTAACAAAGAAGGAGCTCTATTGGGGTTTAATTACATTTCAAGGTTTGTGTTTTCTGTTTTGTGGCTTCTAAGACTTTTCACTGCACATGAACTATCTCTTCATACTTGTTGTGTCACGTAGGTAAGATGCCTGTGTTTTTTACACAGGAAAAATATAATTCCACTTAGAACAAGAGGCAATAGGCACAAATTGAAATACAATAAAATTCCATATGAATGCAAGAAGACACTTTTTCTCTGTGAGTCTGGTCAAACACAGGAATAGATTGCCCAGAGATGTTGCAGAGCCTCCATCTGTGGAAATATTCAAAAACTGTCTGGTCACAATCCTGGGCAACCTGTTTTATCTGACCCTGCTTGGGCAGTGGGGTCGGACAGGATGATCTCAAGCCTCACTGGTTCTGTGACCCAGGAGATGCAGATTCTAGAAAAGGTAAACACCTTTTGCATCAGAGCCCTCTCATTCAGCTTGCTTGGAAGCAGAGTGCCACTGTTTGGGTGGCTGACAGAAGTGTTTTCTCTAGTTGAAGCTTACCAATATGGTTCTTCTCATCATTACTTCTATCAGGTCAGGCACCTACCTTCCCTTTTCTCTGTGTCCTGGGAATATCTACACCTGGAAAACATGATTCCTGAGATGATGGGTACAATTTTTAATGTGTTTCACTTTTGGAGCAGCATCAGCTCTTTGCAGCTTAGCTGCTGTTATGTGGTAGTATAGGTTGTTTTCCTGTCAGAGAGGGATTTGTAGCCTGCAGCCTCTGACAACAAGAGCAGTGATACTGCTGGCCATTTACTTTGCTTCCTGCTACTCAGCTATGCTACATCATTCAAGCAGACCTGCAGTACCTGTAGAAAAGTAGGTACAGTACAAGTAGGGCCTGGATATTTTAAAACCAAACAATGGACACTTAAGCATTCATGCAGAAAAATGTTTTATTGTAGTGAAGTTACACAGGAGAAAAATGTCTCCCTGATTCTGGTTTAAGGCTATACTGACCCATAAAAGCACATTGCACTTCCAGTCATTTTTACAAGTTTATAAGAACACCATCTACTATTTTCTTTTTTGTCTTTTTAATTTTAAATTAACTATAACTATTTAAAGCTGGAATCCAAAATATTTCCTTGTAGGCATTTTTGTTTCTTTTTTCTTTCCTGCTTTCTTTCTTACTTTTCCTTTCTTGCTTTTCCTTTCTTTGCCTGTCCAGTTTATTTAGTCTAAAAGCACCTCAGGACACATGAGGGTTACTTCATACTTTCCCATAATGACCTCATAGGGTTCTAACCCCAGGCTCTGTGTACAACACTATGCTGCTTAGTGGTCAGATCATTCGTATCACCAGCAAGCAGGAAGATGGAACGGCAGCACATACAGGGGGTTTATGGAAGAGTGTTGAAGTGACCTAGATGGCAGAATAGCTCTTCACCCATTAAGGTAACTGCCAGCCCACATTTAATGCAGAAAATCAGCAAAGCACTGCATCAGCCTGGCACACATACACACACAAAAAATGGTACAGGGTCTGTGACTATACAGAAAACATAAAGAAGGTGAGACAGGTTTTGGACCTGCCAACCTTGTAATTGTCATTTAAGGAAAACAAATACAACACTGTTTATCATCTTCTAACTACTCTTCACACACAACAGGTAATGTACAGCATACTAACTTACATTTTTACATAATGATACACAGATCTTCACCACCAACAACGCTTGTGGTGAAAGGATGTGACATGTCAAGATGACTGACACTTCAGAAAAAAAGTTCATGCAGAGCTAGCTTATTCTTTGTCTCTTGAATGTAAAATCCTACAAATGATTAGCAAGATATCTATTTTTACAATATTTACTTTGTACAGTGCAAAGAGGAAGGACAGGCTTTTTAAACGTAGGACTCCTTAGCATACTGGATCTGCTCTACCTCAAAAACCGGCTGGCTGCACCTCCGAGCCACATATTCAAGTTTGTTCTTTTGACAGGACTCAGACATGGCTCTCATCCGGTAGACTCCTGGGGTCACGGGTAAATTCACACGGGAGTTTACTCCTAAAGAGATACTGAAGGTTTCAGTTTCCATGTCAGAATCCTTTGTTGCAGAAACTCTGGCCCTGCGTAGATCCCTCAGATCCATATATGCTGTGTCCTGTGCACTGTGGCTGCAGGGATGAGGCAGCAAAACATCCTGGTTTGATGCTGCTAATCTCAGAGTCTGAACCGTGACATTTTGGGAGGGAACTGTAGTGGCCAGGCAGTTTTTAACAGCCTCTTCATAAGAGGGTGGTCTTCTAGGGTTTTTCTGGTCTACCTCTCTGAACACTTCATCAACTGACCTGAGACGGGGCCTTTGCTGATAGTCCACAGGCAGTGGTTTGTCATCATTATGGCTGCCCTCCTGGACAATTCTGCAGGAGAAGTGATCTTCTTTCTTTGTGAAACTGTCCCTCTGAAAAAACATGGGTTTTCCAGACCCCCAACTTTGGGTTTTTATTAGTGTTTTCCTGCGGTTTGCAAAAGAGAATGACATGGAATGTTTTTTGATCTCTCTGCTAGGTGTACTGCAGTCTTCGGTGGCCTTGACGGAAAAGGACTGAGGCCTATTTAAAAAGGTTTTTTTAGGACTAGAGGGCGAAACTACTGGGGAGCTGGTGAAAACTGAGCCATCAGAACTCTCCAGGGAGCAACTGGAGGATGTTTTTGGTAGAGAGTCAGCTGACAATTGTGAAGGTAAGCCTGCAAGACGTTCCTCCAGTGCCTCCATCCATAGCAGTTTCTGCTGAACTGGAAAATTGTCCTCACTTTTGTTTAGTCTTTGTTTCCTTATTGTGTCATCAAGGCAGTTCTGGAAGGACAGGTCTGACTCTGAGTACCTCCTGTCCATTGTGCTGCTGTCATTTCTGAAATTAGTCAGGGAAGGGGCAGAGATATTTGTTGGATATTTTCTGCTCACAGTAGCACTCCTCCCTTTGGCCTGCTCCATCTCAGAGGTACAGGGGCTGCCTTCTGCTTCAGGATCTGGGCTGTCATAGGCAGAGTCATTCTGATGAGCTGCACAGAGTTGTTCTGCAGGGAGAAAGCAGACATTAGTTTTCATTGACCACCTGAGGATGAAAGAGAACTACACAGAGGGAGTTCAGAAGAGGGCTTCAACAATCTTGAACCCTCTGTGTTTTCACAGATATATTCACATATCAAATTCAATAATTTGGACCAGTTGGTGACATCCCCACTCTCTTCTCATACCTGTGGAGCTAGCATTGGTGGTTTCATAAAGCAATCTGAAGTAATTTCAGGAAGTGCTGCTGCTGAAGCCCTCTAAAGCAAACCCCATGGAGCAGCAGCAAGCTGATACAAAGGACAGGCTTTTAAATGAGACTCTTGATTTCAAAAGACACTGTTGGCCTCTACCAGCCACTCCATTACATTGGCAGTGGTTGCAAAATTTCCTGGTTAAAAGACTTACGCTTTCAATTCTTCAATTTTTTCTTCCTTGCTTGGCTTCTCTAGAGCTTGCATCCATTTCTCATAGAGGTCAGTTGATAGGAGTTTGGAGGGAATATTTCGGAGAAAGTCCTGCAAGGCCAAGAGATTTAGATGAAATTTTGACACTCTCCCTGAGCACAGAGAGAGTATTACTGTCACCTGGGCTCTCTAAGAGGCAGGTTGACTTGAGCTACCTGACCATCAGCACTGACAGAGCAGTGCAATGCACAAATGCACTTGCACTAGTGTAGTAACAGGATCCAGCTTTCAGTTGCCTTTCCTTCACTCACAAATCTCACTATTGGTCCCTGGGAGCATGCTGGGCAAGAGGACAACGTGAGTTTCCTCAGGAAATCAGCAGCCTAACAAGTAGGACTGACAACCAGGTAGAAAAGGCCAAACTTTCCTAAGCTTGAAGAATTCAGTCTGGCTTAGTTCTGGGCTTAGCCAAGAGTCCCACCTAGATCAGCTCGGAGCACTGGATGGGTCCTGTGCATATGAGCAATGTCCTCCCACCAGTACAGTTCAGAATTACTCACCTTCAAAACCACTGCCAGCAGGTGCACAGATTTACTTTTCAGATCAACATTCCCGCCTTTGTTTAGGTCCTCCTTCAATTCCTTTCGTGCTTTCTCATTGGCAGTTTTTCTGAATATCCCTTCAGTAGAAGGTCCTTTCATATATAATATGGCCAGGAGATCCTGCAGGGAAAAAATCAGACAGGAATGGAAGAACGGTTACTTGGATGAAGGAAGTTAACAGGTGAACATTTCTATAGAAATAGAAGAAAAATTGTCTGGAGGTACACTGTACTCTGATTAGTTCTGTATCTAGTTCTTGCTCCAAGTACATTATGTAGGAAGTAGTCTTGATTTTCCCTTAATCCACCTTCTTTTTGAACTGATGAATTCCACTAACTTCAGTGGAGCCATCCTTGCTTGTTTCTAGAAGGAAGCAAGGGATAGCTTCAATCTTAGTTCACATCCCCTCTCTCACAAGCCAGGCAAATATTACTTAGTAGAGACAAATGCATGTCTATTGGGAAAGCCAATTCAATGGAAGAACTGTTACAAGACCATTTTTATTCAGAAGTTATTGTTTTGGTATTTTTTTTGTGACAGTCCATAGCTAAACACTTGTTTTCCATGGGAATACAGAAATCCTTGGAAGTTTATGCTGCTGAAAGATTTATTTAAATTACTTATTTAAAATCACAGATTATTATATTAAGAAGCAGATCTTTCATTCCTGGTCCTGGGCTCTCTACACTCCAAATTGCTTCCAGTGAAAGTTGGACTCCGACATCAGGGATGGGCCCTGAGCTTATCAAGGGCATGTGTGTTGGGAAACACCAGAATCATCTCCTGGAGGATACAGCAGAAGTACTGGGTATCCTGCCTCACACTTAAGTCAGAGGTATCACAGAATCATAGAATGGTTTGGGCTGAAGGAAACACCAGAATCATCTCCTGGATGATACAGCAGAAGTACTGGGTATCCTGCCTCACACTTAAGTCAGAGGTATCACAGAATCATAGAATGGTTTGGGCTGAAAGGGACTTAAATGATCATCTCATTCCAACCCCCTGCCATAGGCAGGAACACCTTCCACTAGACCTGGTTGCTCCAAGTCCCATCCAACCTGGCCTGGAACACTTCTAGGGATGGGGCAGACACAGCTTCTCTGGGTGACCTCATTACCCTCACAGACAAGAATTTCTTCCCAATGTCCAATCTAACCCTGCTCTTTGTCGGTTTGAAGCCATTTCCCTCTTGTCCTGACACTCCAGGCCTTTGTAAACAGTTCCACTATAACTGTACCTCCTTACCTGGACTGGCTGGGGCAGCGTGTCATCTTCCCCACAGATAAGTGCCAGAGGATGGCCAAACAGAGTGATTTTGGTACCCAAGTCTAGCTGTCCTGAGGAATTTCTTTTGGTAAGGCTTTGTCTCAGAGTAAATGACTGCGATATCACCTTCTTTCTTTTCTTTGTTCCATCTGCTGCAAGTAAAAGGGAAACAAAAGATTAATTTAAAATTAAAAACAAAAAAACCTGCGTGGTCTTTCATCTGTGTGCAGTGCAGAGATGTATGTTGAAACAAACCAAAATGGGAGAAACTGAGAGACAACTAAGTGGTTACTAGGGAAACAACTGCCTAAACAGTAAAACTGTGGCCATACCCCTAAGGCCACCACCTTTCCTGTTTTGGGTTGGGTGTTTTTTACATTCTAGTCACTGTTTCTTCTTAGAGAGTGAGAACATACAAGGTACAGATATAACAACATTTGTAGAGATTTTTGATATTGCAGTAGTTTCTCTGATAACTCGGAGGCAGATATACCACTTAGGCAGCTGACAATGACAACAATTTTCACTACATGGTCTGGTTGTGCCCCTGCCTTAGGGCAAGAGTAGAAGTAAGGGCTCCTACTTTTTGACCTTTTTCACAGCCTAAAATGAAAGAGCTGGCTCCAGAGCTCTGCCAGCTCTGGAGCCAGCTCTAATGACAATGCTCCTAGAGCTAGTGCTTGTCTCCTAGGGGCTCCTACTTTTTGACCTCTTTCACAGCCTAAAATGAAAACATATGGCTCCAGCTCTGCCAGCCCTGGAGCCAGCTCTAATGACAATGCTCCTAGAGCTAGTGCTTGTCTCCTAGCCAGTGGAACATGATACCTGCTCCAGAGGATGGGAGCATCAGAGTAAGCGCTCACTGGCTTCATGGTTAGAAATATCTTAGCATGGGTTTTGCATCTGCTTCATAAAGAGGAGGGCCAGAAATTTGAAGAGGATAATTGTATTGCAGTGGGGTGGGTCTTTTTTTCCCCTTTGACAAACAGTAAGAGAAGGAGCCTTTTGCAAGAAAGATTTCTAAAGGATTTGCCTTCTGCAAATTTGCAATAAATGTCATGCCTTCTATTCTGAAGTGAAGTTGTCTTACCCAGATGAGAAATTCTCGGGACCTCTCTTTGTGACTTAGCATAACGTCTTGGTAGGTAGGGGTTAAAAAAATTTGAGAAAGTCACCTAACATTATAGTGTAGTTTAAAATATTAGCTTCTGATACTCCTGAAAACTGGTCTGATATGATTGTCTGCTCCAAATCTGACCCTGCTTTGTTTATGGTCTGCTCTGGGTTGTTTACAGCTGCTGAGGTTTTGCATGGTGAGAAAAAACAAGTACTAGTGCTGCTGCCAAGAGGGTTCATTTTTTCTGGTGTGCAACATCTGGTACAGTACTCACTTGCAGTGCCACGCCTCAAAGGCAATGCTTGAGTGAGAAAGAAACACATTTACTTCCCATTTCTACCAGGGAACACAATGAAACCTGGCTCTAAGGACCAGGAATGGGAATACAAGACCTCTGGCACTCAGCACTGTCACCTCTGCCACTGTGCATATAGAAAAGAAGTAACTTGCAAATGAGTGGCTCTCCAGAGCTTAAGCCCTCTCCTGGATGGGAACTGTGTCTTGCTCTCCGGGAGGGGGAGCAGGCAGTTTCGGGTGGTTTTGCACAAGTGCCAGCTTGCAAGCATTATATAAGAAGGCAGTTCCTCAGTTTGTTTTTGAAACTCACCGTTTGAGAGGCAAAGTCTGTCTTCAGTATCTGCTGGGACTGACAGGGGACATTTCTTGGCATCAGCCTGCAAAAAGCACGTTAGGGTTACAGAGCTGCCACAGTAGTGAGAGCCACCAGCAACTTGCTGCAGCTCCTCAGAAATCTGGGGAGGCTCTCGGGAATAACCAGACAAGCCCAACACCTGCTAAAGAGGTGCCTCAGCCCAGGACTGACACTGCCTCACTGCCTGGTAAAGGGGTCTATGTTAAACTCTGCAGCCAGACACCCCAGTCGTGCCAGCAGGTCACAACCCTGCGCTCTTTCAAGCTGCGCTTTTGATCTAGAGAAGCCATAGCAGAACACAGCCTCCTTCTTTGTGTCCTCTCCAGCACTGGAAATTTCCTCCACACTCCTCTGGGGAGCCTTGATGGCTTTGAAACCTTCAAGATCCCTGAGCAAAGCTCCCAGTGAGCCAGGGGAATGCACAGACTGCCCACAGCAATGCCCTGCTCCCTCTGCTCAGAGCAGAGAGCTGCGTTTGAAGAGCTCTGCCCGCTCCTGGGTGAGGGTGGGCAGCCAGCAGCTACTGGAGGAGTCACCCCTACTTTGCTAAGGTATCTCACACCAGTACCCCAGAAGGATCCAGGAAAATGTAAGGGCTACTTACCTCTGTCTGGCACTCAATCAGACTCTCCATGTTCCCAGCATTTAGTGTCTTTGACTAGGCAAGAAAACAAAGACACTGTGTGAGTAATTGGATCCTATGGTTTGGAAATCAGAGCTTTTCAAAGTCACTATGCTGACAGAGCTGAAATAATTAAGATACTCACAGTATTACAGCTGCTTAACACTTTCATTAGGAGTTTGATTGGAGGAGCTCTGGACAGTCTGGTTTCCTTCAGTCCTTTTGTTTGCCTGTTTGTTGAACAGGGAATGGACAAAGAGTCTTGTAAAACTGCACCCTTCTTGGCTTTGTCCTCTGCAAGCCAATCTAGCGTGTATGATCCTGAACCAGCAAGATCTCCCACACAATTATAAAGCCCTTCTCTGGAAGGGCATTCAGCCCTGCTGCCCTATCTGCCTCCTAATTCAAACAAAATAAAAGCAGCTTTCCATTTTTAATCCATGCAAAAAGTGAGCAAGTGGTGACAGCTATGTATGGTTATTAATCTGCACACCCGAGGCTCAGCAACTCTGTCAGCTCTGCCCATGAGCTGTGCTTAGTGGGTGCACCTCTTCCCCATGTACTTTTTTGTACATCTCTGTGCAGCTGCGTCTGAAGCTCTCCACTGATTTCAACCATGATGCCACAGATTTTTTCAAAGGCAGTACTTACCCAAGAAGTGAATCCAGCCAGAGCTCCTTCACCTCCTGTGAACTGCAGAGGAAAGGAGAAACAGCATCACTCCCCACTGCTACTAATCCTTTGGACAGAGGCAGACGACTAAACAGAGCATACCACGTGTGCTGCCTTATATATGCAGAAGGGGCAGGTGGAAATTCACAGGCAGGAAGAAGCATCATGGGGCAGGACCAAGACACTACCAAATTTCTGGCTTCCTCTTTCCTTTTAGAGGAGATACTTTTTTGGTCCCCCCCCCCTTAAAGAAAAAAAAGAAACTCTGGTAGCTGTTATGGATGGAAAAGATGAGACACTTGCCAGGTAAAGGTTCCAGCTATCATCACCAGCATGAGGTGAGATGTGCAGAGGGGGCTGCAGTGTAGGCAGCTTCTCTTTACCATTAAAGGGCAGTGGGTACAGTCTGTCCTTTGCTCAGAGATATTAGATTTGGCAGTTTAAGAACGCACTGCCAGATCAAGCTACACTAAGAACAGTGAAAACAACGGGGCGGTGGAATAGACAAGATTCAGAGAAATGTTTCTTTATAATTTTTTAAAAGCTAATTGCAACAGTTTACTGTCTACAAGCAGATGTAGGCACACATTTTGTCAGTACTAAGTAGTTCTTGAGAATCTAGGTACTGGACATCTATAGACAAAGTGGTGTAATGTAGTAATTTAGTAATGTATGAGAGTACGTAATTTAAAAGTCTTGTTTAAAATAAATCTTAATAAGACATATTTGTGTGCACATATTAAAATTTGATTCAAATTAAGAGATTAAAAAAATCTAGGGAAAATCTACCTCTGCTTGACCTCTATCATTCTGCTGGTGACTGCCCCCCAACGTGGGCATATCATGAATACAGCACTCACTCTACCAGGCCATTATGAAAATTCATTAAGATTTGATGTTAAATATATGATATTATTTCTGTTGATTTATTGACTGAGGCAAATTACAACCCTGTTCTGCGTGCCAGACTGCTGATCTTGTGAAAAAGAGGAGTTAAGGCTGAAAGTTAGGATTGGGAATTCTTCAGCAGTGGATACTTGTGAAAATGTGGCCTTTCTGCTGCTTCTCTTGTAGGTGCTGTGTTTCACATGTGCAGAGGATGGGGCTGTCTTAGCGCTTGCAGATGCAAGTAATGGTTACATCTGCTGCTGAATTCACCTTCAAAGCTGTTCTTTGTGTAACCACATCAGACCCGGCCAGTGTAGCACTGGCCCTGTTTCATGCAGAACAGAAAAGGGACAGGAAGGTGATCTCTGTTTGACTCTGGTAGAAATCCAAAGCACAAAATTCACTTTTGGTTCGATAGAGATGTGTCCAGAAGAGCAAATGGAGACTTGCTCTGTTTTTGTGGGAGGAGTTGCTGAAGGTCACCTTTTAAGTCCTCCTGAGGCCCATCATTTCCATGCTACTGTAGTGGCACTGGTCTGGTGACTTGTTTAGGGCTGAAACTTACAGCAATTTCAGTCAATTAGTCTGCAGCCCTGTGCATTTACCACTGCTCTAGCTGATTTTTTGTTAGTTATCAGTCCCATGACATTTTTAATTTCCCAACTAAATTCCATGGGCTGCTGTACATGCTTGCAGAAGTATTGTCATTCTACATCACTTTTTCCTGAGAATTTCTTTTGGGGCTCCTTGGCAGCTGCAGCACCACTGCTGATAGTTTCAGTGAGATTCCTCAACAAGAAACATCTATTTTTCATTACATCTGTTAAATATATATCCAAACATACCTATCTGTTAAGCATCTCAGAGGGGACCTATGGAGTTCAATTCTGCCTTCCCTTCACTTCCAGCACTTTGTAGAGGTGTGTTTCTGAGCTCAGTCTGTTTCATGATTAAGACACAGTGTTGATCTGGAAAATGTGTGACTTGTGAAGAAAATGTGAGTTTAATGGGTGGTGCTTAGCTAGGCCAGAAGCTTAGATTACTGTTCTGGCACTGACTGTACACAGGGCACTGGGCTTTGAGTTTCCCAGGGGAAGATAATACAGTAATGGGTGATGTATTGATAGCACATCACCAGACTGTCCACTGGCACATAATGCTGTGTCTCTATACAATTAGTTCTTATCCATTAACAATTGTGGGGATATAATGGCTGTTGTATGTGGAAGGTGTGTGTATAGGCCTGCCTGCCCATATGAAAAACAATTTGATTTTTTTACCCTCCTGATATCATTCTTTATTTAATAGCTCTTTTATGGTGTCTATCACAAACACTTAAATCATGCCAAAATTACTTTAAAGCAGCCTATTTTAGTACAAATAAGCAAGAATCCTAAAATGCTGTGGTTTGGCAGAGTAATTGTATGGCAACACAGAGGGAATCTTCGCTGGTGTTGTGAAAAGCAGTAAGCAAGCACATGCTGATTCCTGCCAAACATCGCAGAGCTGTGTGCAGGCTTCCAGGGTCAGAAGAGCTGCTCTTACACCTACTTGCCAGAGCAGCTTCACAGCTTCCCCATCAGGAAAAGGTGTAGTCCCCAAAGCCAGTCTCCACCCTGAATATTAACAGAAAAGGCCTGTCATATGTGATGTTTACAAGTTAAGTTCCCTTATATGAACTACTTCTCTCCCTGAGGAGGCTGATTCCATCTCTACCTCCCAGTTCTGCTTTGCAGACTTGAAACTTTTGCTGTGGTCCACTCCTCCCTCAGTTTGGTACAGATCTTACACCACAATGCATCAGAGCAATGTGTTTGTTGTACCACAGCCACTGCCCTGGGGCAAGGAGAACAGATGGCAGGTGGCTTGGGTACACCTGGAATTGTTTGCAGTCAATGTGTTTCTCCCAGTCAATCCCTGACTAAGTGAATGCACTATCCTCAAAAAACGCTGGATGTTTACACAAAGATCAGGGCTTGGGAGAGGCAGTGGAGTAAGGGGTTTGTAGGACTAGCCTGTGTAGAAGTTCTTCCCCTGCTGTACACCAGGATGCTTCCCTCAGTTCTGCTGAAGTGTTTTACATTCACTGGAAAGAAAGCAGGAGCAGAGGGGTCCTGCAGAGCAGCCAAGCCTGGGTGGATTCAGCCCTCCTAAGGACTGGATTTGCCCCTTGGGATGTGAAGCATTTTCCTTATAGAAGCCAAGACATCAGTTTGATGCTTGTGCTTCCTCTGGTCCCAGCTAGCCCCTTTCTCCCCCCCCAGACCATGGCTGCTTTTGTGATCCACTCCCAAGCCCTCTGCCCAGCCAGTGTGTGGAGGGAGGGCTTATATAGCACTTGCTGCAAACATGGACCAATGGTGATTTTTGGCAATTTTCCCCTTTGTGTGAGCTCCAGTGAAGCTAGGCATTTTCTCCTCTTTTCTTCTCTTACACTTACACTGTGGCTATGTGAGGGACTTCAGACCATAGCAATGAAAGAGCAACATCAATTGGCATGAGAAAGAAGTCAGCAGTTGACAGTGAAAAAGAGAAATAAAGAGTAAATCTGCTGTGACTGGAGACTGTTTCCTTCTCTCCTTATCAAGCCACAAATGGGAAAACCCCAGCCACAGCTCACTTTTGTTTATTTCTATTACTTTTGCAAATGTTTGACAGCATGGCTTTTAGGAAGGAGGGAGTGTGAGAATGAATCCTGAAACTCGCCTTTGCTCTGTAATCATACCAGCAAGGAGGCAGCAGGAGCATAGCTGTGAGAAGGGCACAGCGGAATGAGACTGGAGCAGGGATTCTTTCAAGCCCATATAGAGCAGAAATAGCCTTCATCAGTGCCTCTCCATGTGGAAAAGGGATTGTATTCCAGTTTTGTCTTCACTGCCACAGCTGCAGTCTCCCCAGGGAACAATAGGAACATTTACCAAAATAAGGAAAGCAGTTGTGCCAAACTCAGAAAGCTCTTGGGTTGGTTGTTTTTTGGAAGGGAAATCTCTGTACAATCTGTCCATTAATTCAAAGAACAAGGTGGCAAGTGGGTTCCTGGAAACAGGCCACATTTATAGATGCCTTCTGAAGGCAGCTCTGATTTCCTACCACTCTCCAGAGCCTATTGTGGGATGCATAGGCATGGTTCAGGGTTTGATCACAGTCCCTGCTTCCTACCTGTATCAATTCAGAACAAAAACCATCAACCCAGCCGGTGCTGAACTCCTACAGGTTTAGTCAGGTAGAATCTGGGCTTATGCTAAACCTGCCTTTGGAAAGTGAAATGCACTGTCAGTTTTTCCCAGCTCTGTTCAGCTGATTTCTATCCTGAATTAGATATCAACGTTATATTGTAGTGTGGGTTAGATTGCGCCACCTTTCTACACACTGTGCTACTATTGCATGGGAAAAAGTTACAAATCAAAAATAACTCTATAAATACAGCACAGGGTGTATTCTATGCCCTTCTTGTGACACCATTTCGGTTGCATTTGCTTTGCAGTATGGTTTGCTTATTCTTTCATGGGTGCTTCCCCCAAGCCTCAGTTGGCAGCTCTAAAGATTTTTACTTATCCTCAGGTGACTGGGTCCATTGGATGCTTTTTTAGTTGTGGAAGGCAGGTGCATATGGGCCATTTTTCCAAAGGGTCTGTGCTGCTGTTTGACTGTGTCTGCATTCGGCTTGCTATTATATCTCTGTGATACTTGGGAATTACTCATTCCTTTTGTTCCCTGAGGTGACTAGCCCAAAGGAATCAGGGAACTGAAGTTGCCTGTCATTTCTGACTGAGCGGATGCAGATCTAAACTTTTGCTTACTTACATGAAAGTAGTAGAGAACATGTGTAATTCAGTCTGAAATCTGTTCTTTTCAAAATTCCTGGTTGAAGGTACTCAAACAATATTGAAAAGTGATATGCTTACTTTTTTTGTTACTCCACCAGGTTTTTCACTTAATTTGCTTCATGTTCTTCATTTGCAAATCAGAAAATTAGATGTGACTTTTTGCCAAGCTCATTTGCCATCAAGGACAGATTATGCTTCTTAACAAATACAGAGTGGTTTGAATCTTGATTTTGGTTTTCAGGATTAACACAAATGTTTTCTTTTAGATTTTTTTTTAATGTAGGCTTGTATATCTCTTGTTTCTGC